GTGGGAACTCTCCCCCCCCCTCCTTCGGTCTCGCCGACCCCCTCTTGACCTTTCCCTGGACCCAAGGGTGTGCCATGCAAATTTTGGCTGCTTTAGCTCTTACAGGGACTGAATGCATAGAGAACAAACATACAAACAAACTTTCTTCTTTATATATATAGATAGATAGATAGATAGAATGTTTTACTTTTGACTATAACATTCTCGCATCGCACAAATCATGTAAAAAGGAAGACAAACAATATAAAATGTGTACATATACTGCTTTATTAACTTTTTAAAAAACCTTTCTGTTCTTCTATGATCAAGTTCAAATTGTACGACATTTAAAGGCACTTTTTTTCTCCTCTACTTTATACGTATTTCATTGTGTCATATGTCGAAGAATTAACTTATATTTCCTAAACCGTCCTTCAACCCAAGCTACTTACAGCCAGTGTACTATTATTTACTTTGTGGTTATCGTTCAGTTATCTAGAAAACTTCAATAGTACATCAATGCGACGAAATGTCGTTCGATGAAAAATCTTTCGATGAAAAGTCGGTCGACGAAAAATGCATCACATAAAGAGCTCTGCCAATAGAATCTCACACAGTTTCAGCTAGAAAAATTAAGTATAGAATCACAATAATAAGTTTTTCGTTTAAATTCGAATGTTGATCATAGATAAATCATACATACTTGCACAGAACATGTAAATGTTGTCTTTAATTTTTGTGCAAATGATATTTGTGTAATTAAAAATTGAATATTTAAATAATTTTGACTATAAGGAAAAAGTGTAATCGATGGAAAATGGAGGGAATTTGTTTTTTGATCGTATATTTGTGGTGGTGGTAATGATAGAACTAATTTTGAGCTTAATGAATCAATAACTTTTATTTCACACGAATTTATTATGGATGATGTTAAACTTTTTAATAAAAATTTTACGTTTAAATAATTATTTGTCGATGTAGGTGATATAGAATATTCCTAAAGAGACAAATAATACAAATCAATAGCACTTACTACCAAGAGAAGTAGCTAGGTAAAGTGAACAAACAGATTGGAGCTGATCGTTCCGCGAATAATCTTTGATAGAGCGCAGTTACAGACTCTCTGTTCTGGAGTCATTCGATTGTGTAGATCTTGCTATATGTTTATTTAATAAACGAAAAGTTTAAAACATTTTAAATGCAATAATTGAACTTTAGCGATATTTGTTTTCGTAGAAAAAGCAGAAATCTCTGTTAAAAAACAAGTTCAATAAAATTTATCTTGCATTTAAAATTAGCTTAAACAGCTTAAAACTTCTAGATTGCACTCAGTTTTAAATATTAAATATAATTTACCGATTTAAATTGAGAAAAATTTGTATGAATGAAGTTTTCTCAAAAACAATCAAGTCTATCTCTCAGTAATTTAAGTATGATTACCATCTTAAACTGACTGTAATCTAAACGCTTCAAATTATTTAAGATAATTCTCACGACAAAGCAAGCATCGCTAAAATTCAATCATTTCATTCAAAATATTTTAAACTTTTCTTTTATTAAATAAACATACAGCAAGATTTTCACAATCGAATAACGATAACAACAGAGAGTCCGTAACTGTTTTCCGTTAAAAGTTACTTAATGGCGTCATTCAGTATTTTTGTTGTTTATCAATAACAGTTTCTATCTATTTTGCATTCAGGTTTACCACCTATACATCGATACTAAATAAACAATTAAATATACACTGGCTATTTTACTTACAACTCTGATATTTGATGATTGTGCAGCTAGTTTATAATCATCAGCCGTGACGCTATTACTTGTGGACGTTTGTTCCATATTAAATTGATCATCATTCATTATATCAAATAAATTTGCTTCTGAATTACTCTTATTATTGTCTATTGGTGCTACTACAGTCGTTATTCTATTCTTTTTTTTTAAAGATTTTTCTTCCTTGCTATTGACTATCGACTTAGACTCATTTTTTGTTTTCTCTTTTCTACTTGTTTTTTTCTTGCTAATAGTCGATTCATTTTCTGTTGGAACAGAAGATTCTTGTTGATTGCCAGCATCATCCATGGTCGGTAAAATTTCATTATAATCGTCTAAAATAAAAATTTTTACTCCAGATAAGTATTCATCATTTATGCTTACCACGTGTTCGTTGTTTCGATGGTACTGTTGGATTTGTATCTTCACTTTGTGTTGATTTTTTTCTGTCCTTTTTCTTTTTCTTGTGTAATTCTTCTTTTAGTGGAGATGGAGAGGTAGTAACTTGAGCAGATGAAAGTTGTTGTTGTTGTTGTTGTTGTGTAGGTTTAACTATATCTTCTAGATTAATGTTCAGTGCCCGATGTGGATCATTTTTTGGTAACTTCGTTTCGTTGGTATCATCTTCGAGATCTATTTCATTCTCTTGAACACCTTCGGGCAATTCACCACCACGTTTCACTTGAATTTCCGGATATAAATCATCATCATTTTCATTTTCATTATCAACAGTTGCATTTTGTTTACTTTGTTTTTTAGATTTTTTAGATTTTTTGGTTTTACTATCGAGAATTACATCTGTTGAATCTTGGGATGTTGTTTTTGTTTTCATTTTTTTCTTTAGACGACGATTTTCTTCATCAATTTTGGACTGACGATAATATTGATCGGATGACGATAATGGTAAACCTAATGGAAGAGTTGGTCGACCAAGAGTGGACGCAGAGACTTGCGAACCATTCGAGTTCTAAAACAATGATTTTAAAAGTTAGTTAATAAGAAAGTTTGTGGATATAGAATTAAGAAATTAGATTGTGTATTGTGGAAAAAAGAAAGTTATAAGACTGCAACAAAATATATAATTGTTTAAATTTTATTCAAAGTATGACAATGAACTGTAATATTTAACTTCTCTCTCTCTTATTCTTCTTCATTGAAATCTTAGAAGATCACAAGTAATTTCTCTCTCTTTTCTTTTTCCTTTCAAAGAATAATGTTCAATACTTCATTTATCTCCAAAATATCACAAGTGACTACCTTCTTTCTTTCTTTCTTTCCTTTTATTTTTAAATAATATGTCGCATTATATGTCATATGTAACATACTTTTGTATGTTTTACTGGTGAAGTTTTTATGTAAGCTCATATTCTGACGATGATGTTAGTATAAATATCAAAAGCTCGGTATAATAAATGATTTTTGAATAAATCTAAACAATTATGTATTTTGTAGCGGTCTTCTAACTTCTTTTCTATCTTCTTTTTTATTCTTCCGTCTTCTTTCTTACCTGTATATCGGTTTGTTGTATGGGACGTGATGATTTCGATGTATCTTTCAAATAGAATGGATTTATTTTTTCACTTTGTTTTCGAATTTCACGTTGTTTTTCTAATTCTTCAGCAGTTGGTTCTTCGTAATGTTTCGACTTTTGATGTGTACCGATAACAGGCGATATTACATTACTTCCATGATAAAAGCTATCGCCGCTGGTCCTATGATTGTCAGCATGATCATAAAATAAAGTCTTTGATTTGTATGAAGACAAGGCAGACTCTATTTCGTCTTCGCTTTCTGACGGTGGATCGTTGATCCATGCATCCAAGTCAAGGCTACAACAAAAGTCAATTCATAGATATAAGAAGTGGAAATGGAGTACTGTAAACACAAAAAAAATCTGTTGGGATCTTAAAAATTAAATGTAATGACTCTTTTTCGTCGTCTAAACTAAGAAAATACTAAAGAAATTGTTACCCTTGGGGGATCGCCACTTTACGTTGTGCTTTGGGCGCAACTGGATTTAAAATTCCATCAAATAGTGCGGTCAATTCTGATGTATGAAGTTCATTACGTTGAATTAATTTCAATGCTATTTTCAGTACATTTAAAACGACACTAGCCTAGAAATAGAATAGAACAAAATCAATCTAGAATTTTTCAAATAATTTACAAGTATTTAATTACTCTTTCTTGTGCTTCAACATCTCCACTAAGTAAAAATAGTTCTAATTTATCTATGGTAGTTGAAATCAACTTTAACATTTCTCCCATTTTCTCTTTCTCTTCTCCATCAACTTGTGTGAGAATATGTGTAATGATTTTTAAAATGTTTTGAAAATAAACCGATTGAATATGACCAGGAAACTGAGTGACTTTTGTATTTAACATTGAATTTAATGTTTTCTCTGGTTCTTTCAAATAACTAACATAAAAACAAAATAAAATTGATTTTTTTTTAATAAAATTAGATAAAAATAAAACTTACGAACAAAATTCTCCACATATCCAAGCAGCAGCATACAATACTTCCGCTATATTCGTCGATTGTGAACCAACAATAAACATGTGAGCATTTTCCAGTAATATAGTCTAAAAAACAAAACAAGTTTTGACAATCTTAGATTTGACCGTTGTTGACACACACGTATTCTCAGTAACTGTTTAAACATACCATTTGATTGCAAGCAAATTGTCTAATTGATTCTACTCTAACAGCTACATCTAACATTTGTAACGATATCAGACTACCATGTTTTGTCCCTTCTAAACGCGTCAATTCAACTAAAATACTTATATACCTAAAATTTAAAAACGGTTGTTGATAAAATAATTTAGATAAAAATCGAATTACCATTCAAAATTTGTGATATTTTGATAATCATTTTGACTACAAATATTAATAATTTTTGATAACAATTCATCACGATAATGTGAACCTTCTGCTTTATTCATATGAATCATTAATTTTCGAACAATATCCATTAGATTTTTTTTCGTCACCTATTTGGGAAAAAATACTAATGAACCATTTTTATTTTTTGACAATAGTGTACCTACCATTCCTGACAGAAGATCTAATGCTCGTAAACGAATCGAATCATCTTTATCATCTAAACATTGCATAATTAAATCATTATGTGCTTGAACACTTTTTGGATGAGTTTCTAGTATTTTTGACATGGCTAATAATCCAAGATATTTAACTAGAATAAATAAAATACACTAAATCCAATAAAACAATTCAAAATACGTTTTGTTGAGTAACGTACGATTTTGATCAGAATCTTCAATAAGAATTCGTAATTTTTGTACACATAACTGAAATAGTCATATCAATGTGTACTCTTTTAAAAGAAGTAATCAGTTTGACTTACTTGAATAGAGGTACCATGATTTGGTAAACCGGAAGATATTGAAACAAGAACTAAAACAAGTTAAACGTTGTATTACTCATTTTGCTATCCATCTCGATAACAAAGTAAGTTAAGTACAGCAATAAACTGAGGAAGAAGTAACAGTTTTATACTCCAAAACCGCTGTTTTTAAGAAAAATTTGAGCTCCTCCCCTGGAGGATACAACCTGTTAAAATACCGCACACAGCCTCTTCAAATGGTAGTCACAACCTCTTGAAAAGACACACACAACCTTTTAACATGACTAGACGTCTCAGTATTGGGAGTTCCACCTTTTAGCACCTCTAGAGGCTACCTTGCCAAGGTTTTTTTACTCACCAGCTATAACTGTATTGATACATTCATATAGCAACGACATTGCAGATGTACTATGAATCAAATTTGTTAAAGGTTCAATTAACTTTTTTCCTAAACGAGGTTCCAATGGTGTCAATGCACCAAACTAAAAGAAAAGCAGAGAAAGAGTACACTTGATATCAACTGATTTTTATTTCTTCATTCTTTAGTAATTTTCATACCAATTTGATTATTTTAATTAGTACCCAGTTGTTTGTCGATGAAGTCATTAGACGAAAGAATATCGGTGCTAATGCTAAATAATTTTTAGGATTTCGACGAGCTAATTCACATATAACATTGACAGCAGCAGCTTGCACACCTAGACAAAAAACACAACGTGTTATGGAATGGAATTGAACGAAATAATAAAATAACTGTTTCATACCTGGATCAGGATCTTCTAATTTTTCTCTTAGGCGTGGAAATGCTGGTTTTAACGAATCTGGATTATTTAAAAATACTTTATACAATAATAGTACAGCTCGCTTTCTTACATAAGGTTTAGTTGATGTCATCTAGAACACATATAGAGAATAAAATTTTCGTGCACAATAAATATGAAATATATTTACCAAACTCATCAGATCATTGGCAAGATCTCTAGCTAAATCGCCGTTAATAAAACAGGATAAACCACTCATGGCAGTACCGGCTTCATACATTGATGAACTATTCAAATCCTATAACAAGCAAGAGAATATTTTCTTTTTATTAAAATATAAAAACAATTACTTTTCGAATCATATTTGTTGTTAACATTAGTACATCTGTCCCTTCATGAAAACATTGTGACGCAGCTAAATAACCGATTCTCTAAAAATAGCAAACAACATTTTCTAACATGATATTAGTCTTACTATATAAAATCATACTTTAAATGTATATTTTGACGAACTCATAACTTCAATTATATTAAATGAACCCCAAGATATATCATAGCCAAGCATTTGAAGCTTAATAAATGACACATAATATATTATTATCTGTTTTTAATACTGTCTATCAAGGACTGAAAGTTTAATACACCTGCTAATATACGTCTTCCATTGAACAGTTCTTAATAGTAAAGAGTGGCGTTTAACTTACGTAAGTCAATTTATTAACAGCATTTGCTTTAATGGCAATATTATCTTGTTTAAGTTCTTGTTTAATTTCATCCATACATTCAGTGATATATTTGGCCTTCAAAAAAAGAAGAGAAAATAAACATTAGTAGATTTTGAGGACAGATAAATATCATCCTACTTCATTATCTTTGTGGTTTCTTATTCCACGAACGAGATCACGAAGACTTTTATCAAACATTTGACCAAAACCTTCTTTGGCACGTTTAACAACTTGATCCATTGTTGATGACATTGTTACTCTTTAGATGACAAAACTAAACTATAAAAAAGAACACTATTTATGTATCTGACCGCTAGCCTACATAGATTTTATTCGAAAGAATAAAATCACATAAAACAAAAAAACTGTCCTTGGTGTGCACGAACAAACACTGTATATAGATGAAGAAAGAATGTTGGTTTGACTGAGTCAATATCCATTGTGGTCATGAGAAATGAATAGCAAAGGCAGAGAAAGGAAGGGATGTCAGTGACAGCTGACATAATGCTCCCCTCGTGGATGTTAGATGAGCCTTTTGGCTAATCGAAAAAAAGAAGTGGGGAGAAAAAATGAAAAAACAACACCAAAAAAAAGAAAGAAACAGGGAATTAAAGGAAGCGTTCATAAACTGGTAATATGTTATTGACATGTGCCACCATTTTTGCTTCTCCTGTCAAATAATACGGGAGCAGCTGGACTGCATGTTTGGAGTCGGGTTTCGCCAAGAGAGCGAAAAGAGTTCGCTGATGTCCAATAGCCATCGATCAACAATTTTCGTGGTAGGCTAGAAAATCGCAGCGCATGCTCCAACACCTTGATCAATAGTGATTGTATCACAGCGTTTGCCACATAGTCGTGTTGAGCAACTGGTATTTCCGGAAGTTCTATTGTGCATGTGTTGGAACACGCCGGTTAGTTTTTTAATGCCACAATGAAATGAATACAGGCGGGCTAGTTTTCTATATGTTAGCCGGCAATAATATTGCGTCAACGTGCTCCGTGATTAATGCCACAATAAGATGGAAACACGCCAGCTAGTGCCCCAATATGCTAGTCTACACAGATTTTATTCGAAAGAATAAAATCACACAAAACATCAAAACAAACAACGACTTGACTGAGTCAACATCTTTGTGGTCATGAGAAATGAACAGCAAAAGCAGAGAAAGGAAGGAGTGCCAGTGACGACTGACATAACACTGACAATAATAACAAATGTTTTATTTAAAATGTTTCGTATTGTTCCAACTTTGAGATGTCTCATGAATGGTAAGATCATATAAATTGATTAAAACGTCTATATCGCATCATGAATTTTAATAAAAACACAAAATTAGCAGGTTTAGTCTCATTTTTATTTGAAAGAAAGGGAAGGGAATAAATGAGGGGAGTAAAATCCCTCCTGTTTTTCATATTTTTCTCCAAAGAAAGCTAGATGATATATGCAAAACTTGAAATTGGGGATAATTGTTCATAATACAAATTGAGTTACGCATGGCTTTAATTCATATCAATTAAAATCGATTGAGAAAGTATGCACCGATTTTTTTTCCAGGCCTGTCGAGAGAAAGAATATATTTCTTAAACTTGTGTATTCAAAAATTTGTCAGAAGATATAGAACTGTATGGTACACTTTTCTCTTCAAAATGAATTATGAATGAAATCTATAAAATTGTCTATTAAGGAGATATGAAGAAAAATAGATCAATTTCACTTAACTTTTTGTTATTATGATATCTTACAGTATTGGTAAATACTGTAATACCTCGCTTACTAAGTTGTAACTGCACGCAATAAAAAAAACAGCAATACAGATGTTTTCGCAGAGACACTAAAAGCCCTGTCTAGAATTGGTGCATGCCTACTTAAGAATCATCTTGAATGAATAAATTTATTCACGAAAGTGACAGTCATCAAAGGTCCCCGATCTATAAAACAATGACTCGAGCCAAACAACAACAAAAAGAATCTATAAGTAGAAAAATACAAATAAAAAGTAAACTACTGTACGAAAACAGAGAGATAGCAAAGAAAGAATGGAAAAAACAAAAACAAATAAACAAAATAAAATAAAGAGTAACAGCACTGGGTTTGTTTTAACTGTAAATATAGCTATCTTCTGCTGAAAAGATGTTGAAATAAAGCTATTTTAAATAACAATAACGAAGAAGAATGAACGACTGATTCTGAAAGATTATTTCAGTCAGTGACAGTTGAATGACAGAAGAAAGAAGAAAGTGTTTGTGGAGAAAAACCATTTACAGTAGGTGAAATACGAACATATTTAGAATGATGACAACGTAAGGAAGAATAATAAGACAAACATTATAAAAAGAAGAAAGTGGACTAGGACGATGATAAATCTTGAAAAACTGTATCAGTCAAAAATATTTACGACGAAGTGACAAATCTGGTAGAGACAGTAGTAAAGAGATAGCAGAAAGGTAGTCAAAATTACAAGAAATACCACGAGAAGCAAATTTGTTTACAGAATCAAGAACAGTAAGAGTAAACGAACTATTATACAAGATGCAACAATAAACTAAGTTTAGGAAGAATACAAGATAAATTCGACGCCGAACCTCTAATGGAGCTAATTCGAAGACACGACTCAGTGCACCCAGCTTGTGCCGACAAGCAAGAGCAATGTCACTAGCATGTTCATTCCATCTAAGATCGTGTGAAACAAGAACACTAAGGCAACGAACAGAAGACACGACAGAAAGAGGGACATTATTGAAATACAGTTGATTGTAAACAAACGGAAAAAGATCAAAAGAAAAAGGAAGCCAAAATACATTTGGACACATTGAGAGACATAAGAAGAGTAGAAGATCAATTAGCAACATAATTTCTACAGTTCTGAACATGAGAGAAATCAAGAGGATTAGAAAAAGAAAGAGGTACAATTAAAAAACATCATTCGCAAAAAGACAGATTTCACAATTCTTTGGAAGAGAAAGAGGCAGGTCATTAATAAAAACAAGAATAAAAGTAGCCCAAGTACACTGCAAGTAGCCCGTCTGCACTTGAGGCTCGTTAAGAGAGATGTGAAAAAAGAAAATTGTAAATTAAACGCTCAGACACTTTAGAAACAACAGGAAGAAGGGAAACAGGACAATAATTAGAGATATCAGCAAGAGCGCATCTTTAGTCAACCCTGCAGGCAATTTTCTTATACAAGTTTTATGTTTCTGTTGCATAAATTTGCAATTCTTTTACAAGTACTAGAAATCAATGGAAAGTACATACCATTATAGTTCTTGTACACAAATATTCAATCAGTTAAATTGTCTAATCTACAGCGCATAGCACAGTTGTCAATTTCTGTAGTCCATGACTTTAATCGCAAGTTCCGAATTGATTTTTGTGAGAAAAGTTATACCCTTTGTATTTCCTGATCAATTTCGTCTATGTGAAAATATAAATTAGAATAAGTTTAATAATGTTTATTGTTCACGATGGAAATGTCGTTTTGTAAAAACATGAGAAAAGACAGTCGGCGATGTTTGGTTTTAGATGATTAATTACGTTTTTCATTAAAATCGCCATCACGATTATGATTTTGACTATCATCGCCGATAAATTGGTATCTATCGGCGGTTTTCTCAAGAACCGGTTGATTATCAGTTGGTAAAAATTACTGGTATTGCGATTAGTCCCAATTGTGGCTGATTGGCGATTTTAATGAAACTGTATTCATCTTTTTTATGGCTCTTTTATGATTGCCTGCAGAACTATTTTCTGCAATTTATACTTTTCTTTTTTATCGTTTTATTAGTTTGATTTGTTGTAATAGAAAAAAAAAGACAAATGTGATTTGTTTACAGAATCAAAAATAGAAAGATTTGCCATACATCACACCAAAATAGTCATCATAATAGCAAGTTCTGGAAGAATACGTAAGCATAAATTCGACGCTAGATCTCAGGAAATGCTCAACTAAAAATACATCCCAAGGCTCCCAGCGTTCGCTAACAGACAAGACTAATATCTTCGTGATAATCCGCTCCAAAGAGTCACTAATACGATGTTTCGTCTTTCGTAAAAAAATTTAGCGGCGTTTGAGAACGTCAAAACTGTTGTATTATTTGGTATTCTGTGGTACCGTTGAGATAAATTGTTTCAAAAAAAATGCTGAGGTACATTTTTAAATTTTAAGAAATTTTATGATGTTAGAAGTAGAATTTCCCTGATATCAAACATTTTTGCTGAGCAACTTGAATATGTTAGTTTTTTAGTATCTACCGATATATAAAATTACAAGCTCACGTTCTGAAAACTACACAGTATTTTATAGCGAAAGATGCGTTTGTCTTTTATATGAAAAAGGAGAATATTTTCAGGGGTATAAAATACCAAGGGGGGCCGTTTGCCTCAAACCTCTAGGAGGATGGAAACCCCTGGTTGTATTACAATCTTCTTCTCTGATGTTTCATTGATATCGCGCTATAGGCGTGCCTTGATAACGGATGAATTAGCCGTATGTTTAACTTGCATATCTAGCGTACTATGATCAGTATCGTAGCTGCTCAGATAACTGAGAAGCACAGTGAACCTGTGCAAGGACCTTTTTTCTTGTTGAAAAAGGAAAAAACTGTTCCTCTAGGAATAAACAAAAACCTTAGAAAACAGGGAGAATAATCTCAATCTACGTTTATATTACACTACAAAAGTTAACACAGTGTGAAGAAAGATGATTGGTAGAAAAGTTAACTCGGAGTTCACTCATGTTTTTAATATCATTTTACTTCAACCCTTCCAATCATGAACGAGGTCAGTGACCAATAATAAGGTTCCATTAGACAACGAAGGTGGCTCCAATTCACTGGCAAAGAAACAGACATCGGATTCTCTACTAAGTTCTCTGCATGAGCTTAGAAAGGCAACTGTAGAACGCAAATTCAAGGTATAAGACTGTAGCAGCCACAACTTTCGGTAGTATTGAAATCGGCAAGCGACACAATTAAGGTGGAAATGTCTAAATCTTAGTGGTCTATTAAAAATTTGTAATGTAAACGCTCTCAAAGTTTACGTTTATTTTTAAATATGTGAACGTAGCCCATGTTCCCTCGATTACATCTCAGATTCATTTTTGACAGTATAGTAGTACGTCCATCCATGCAGTAAGCAATTTCCCACCATCAATTACGCTAGAACTGATCCTTAGCCTTTAACCAAAAAAAAAAACTGTATTAAATTTTCATTCTATCAATCACTGAGTAAAGAATATTAAATGAAAACCTAATTTATACTTTACTTACTTCTCCTGTAGTGCATAACTATACTTATCAAACTTTATGGAGGGATTAGTCTATTTATGACTAGTCAGCGTTTGATCCGAGTGTATTTTCGTTTCTCAAGAAAAAGGATCCTCCCAAATCTTTTTTTCTACATCGTCAACGATTTGGCTGAAACTTGTAAAGATCAAAGCTTATGAAGAGCCTGATCCATGGTACAAATTTCAGCTCAAAATGTTGAACGGTTCTAAACTTAAGAAAGAAGAAGGAATAGCAGTAAATTTTAAACGTGAAAGAGGAGAGTTATCGAAAAAATATTTATTATAATATCGAACTTTCGATGTTTAAACTAACATCATCTTCAGAATCCCTGAAATTCAACTGAACTTTACTATCGCTTAGACTACGCTTCCTGTTAGTGTTTGTGGCATTAAGTCTTCTCAGAATCAAAATATTTGCGTCATATTAAGGAAAAAAATTCAGATAGACTGTTTAAGTGAAAGTCTGATATCTTTTCATTTCTGTCTGATATCTTTTCACTCTGATATCTTTTCCAACATGGCATCACTTGATGACGCATGAGTAAGAGTGCCACCTATTCTTTCAAAGAGCAGAGTAGTTCGAACAGTACAATACGAGGTTCTTTTTCTCTATATTCACGCACTACACTACATTAGATTAGCACTATTTATCTACAACATCAATAACTAATCTGACAGATGACTTTTGTCTTTATACACGAACCTAATTAGATAATTTCAACTTTAAAGATCAGCAGAGATACTATCAAAGGAAGTAACAGATAAAGAGCAGAAAATCGGAAGAACACTATCCACCAATGAATGAGGGCAGCCGGCAATTTTACTCTGTTTCCAATACATGTATATAAAGTTTGTTTCTCTATATGTTTTGATTTATACTTATTGTAAATAAATAAAGTTTATGCAAAGTTTTTGATTTTAGAACTTGAAAACACAAAGATGTCTAGCGATAACCAAAATGCTGATTTAAATTCAGATGGTAAAATTTTGTTTGAATTTTTATGCTTTAGCTAGTTAAATAGACGTCAGAGCACTTTTATGAAATGTTTTCTATCAATGTCCAGTGTTGAATGCATCCTAAGTAAGATTAGGAACTTAAGTGTTTTAGATACTACATTGTAGTACATTCTGCCTGCGATACGAGGTATCTTACTTTGGTCTACGAACCGACAGACTCAACTTATCTTTCTTTCTGCTGCAAGAAATCCGTTTCAAAGTTCAAAATAATGTAGTATTTTTGCAGCTCTTTGTTGTTGTTATTGTTGTCGCTATTGTTTTTTCAGGTAAACCATATCACACGCATGGAGATCATAAAGAGAAAGATGATAAATGTTCAACTGGTAAATGTGAGCATAGTCACGACGAAAAAGATCACGTTCCTCATCATGGTCATGATAATCAGTACCATAAAGATTTAAAAGGCTCGATTGGTAGTGGTTCGGCAACACATAGTGGCGATCATAAAAAGGAATCTTGTCAAGATAGTAAATGTGACAAGCATTAGCGATTGACAAGAACAAACACAAAAGTTTTAAAATTAGTCATTCGACTGTTTAGAGTGTTATGTTTAATATCGCATTTTTTTGTAGAATGAAATTGTTTTCATACTAGAAATCGTGTTTAGTTTCTTCATTTAATATAAAGAAAAAAAGTATGGTGTAGCGTGAGTGTATAAATGCATGCTCAAAGCAATTATAGCTAGATTCAGCTACCTGACATCTTTGTTGATCATGAACAACAGTGACTTAAACCAATGATCCAAAATAGTGAATTATTCAACTTTCATCATTTTTCCAGTTATTTACGACTGCTCATTGTTCATACATGTGAAAAAAAACATTTTTTAAGAGAAAATAATCACTGCCTCTTAATAAATGACCATTGTTTTTGGTCTCATTAATAAATCCCATTTTATGTCCTGTGTATAGACTTCTTGCTCTAGCCATTGTTCATAATTACGTTTAAACGTTTCGGGTAAATCATTATCGTCTAAATTTAGTGATGATAATGCCGTTAACAGATCGTGATTGTTGTTGTTTGAATAAAAATAGTCAAAATCATACATTTGAGCATGGTGATAATCATTTGGTGGTTGATGGACACTAGCATTTTGTGTGCTGGAGTTTTGTAATTTATTTTCATTAGGATTAGACGATGAACGATAACGACGATGATTAAATAAATCAATTTTATTACGTAATGCACGTTCTTCGGTTTGAAAATCCCATGATTGTGTTTCTTGTTCTAAAAAACCAAAATAAACATTGTTTCTGAATTTGTACTTTAAGCAAGTGTTGTATTTGGCGACATGTGACATGTAAAGCAGTGTGTAGAACTAAAATCGTTACATACCATTTCCATATGCCCAGTCATCATTCAGTCTATGTCTGACACGTTGATAAATTGCTGATATAGCCATCATATTTGACTTTCGCCATTGTCTTCCTAAATAACGTGTTTGTAACTTTAATAATTTTAATGCGTATAATTGCATCATAGCTTGTTTAACACGTAATGTTTTGCGTAGAATTGGTGCTGACTTGACAGCAACTAACACCTAGCGAAGACAAACACTATTAACTGCAAAATACTGAAGTGTAAAATGTGTGATAGAAAAAGTAGAAGGAACAAAAAAATCAAAAAGAAAAAACGTATATAAAATTCACACTGAAGAGGAAAAATGTTTTTGATTAGGAAAGGAGCAGAATGCGTGCATCAAGTCTTGAATTTTATGATATAACTTATGTGACATGCAAGAGACAACAGCAATAGTTCTGACTAAATTTTTCATCACAAGTAATCATAAACAGAAAATTAAAAATATACTAGAGGTTTTGACTTTCTATTCCAGTTGGTGTTAACGCTAACCATAGTTCGCTCACTCACTTACCATAGTTCTTGCATGTTTTCCTTTTGTTAATTTATTTAATATTCTTAACAAATTTATGGATGAAAACATATTTCGCCAACAATAATTTTCATTATCTGACACATCCTTGAAAGTAAGAAACAATATAAAAAATTTTGGATCGTCCTCGAAAACAAAGACTTACGAATGCTTCTGCCGTAAGTTCCGGCTGGTGACCAATAACACAATTCGGAAAATCTAATATTGGTATACTAGAAAACATTGATACAAATCAAACATCAGAAGACAACTCAACGAAACCAACATCTTCAAATAACTAACAGTTTTAAATTTTGATCACTAAAACGTTAAGCTTTTACGATATCTGCCAAGTTCTATATCTTGAAAAACTGTTATTTGTGTCGAAAGTGTTAAGCTATTAAGGTCCCTATACCGTTCAATTCGAGTTAACGAGATTTAGAAATTAAAAAATCTAGATTTTAGGACGTTATCCAGTATTTTCTTTTTTTGATAACTCAAATAATAAAACGGAAAGACAAGATAAAATAAACACAAAAAATTTATAGCTGGGGAATGTTCTTAGTATTTATGGTAAAACTTTGAAGCTGGGCGAATGAGGTTATTGAGGGCATTTAATGGAACGGTACGAAAAATCGTATGAATGGTATGAAGAAAACTCGGAGACCTTAATAGCTTGAGATTTTTGATACAGGTGAAAAGATGTTCAATTGAATTTTCAATTAGCTCTGAAAAGGAGGAGGATTAGACATTTTTAATTTATGTTTGACAATATTTCTATGGAAAGTCCCAAAAGGGAGGAGGGACGTTCTTAGATTGCGGAGCTTAGTGAAAGAACAGGTTGTTACTTACGTATTTTTTGCCTGTATATGTGATAAGATGTTATGGTTAAAAAATTTCAATATGACCGTAATACAGTTTGAAAATACAAGATTTTGACAAATATATTCAAACTAAAAGTAAAATATAGGCAAAACAGATCACAACGAATATATTCTCGTCTAAAATTCATACCTGATAGATATGATTAACTTTAAAATGTTTTAATAATAGTAATAGAATAGCAGAGACAGCTTTAACGATCATTTCCTAAAACAATAAAGAATTTTTCAAATTCTTAACGTTCACATCTAACATATATGTTTCCCGTTGCATTCTCTTGGTCGGTGTACCACAAAGGGAGCCAAATTACATTAATAAGAATACAATGACAATCCTTTAAGATGTCACCATGTCTTCTGCTAGAGTTTTTCTGGCTCATTCAAAGAACTATAGAAGGAAAACTTGATTATCACTGTCAGCAGAACTGTCTTACTTTATGTCTATTAATATCAAAAGCAAGTTTCATCGTTTGCACCATTGTTATAGGCATTTCTTCTGGTATAACATCACATAGAATATTGATTGATTCTGCCTTTGGTTTAGCTGTTGGAGTTGAAGTAAGTAATAGTTTTAACATAGCAATCTGAAGAAAAAAACAAATACAAAGTCATGCTTCAATTTATAATCATTGAAACCTACTAAAAACTGTGGAATTTGCGGTAATGTAGCATGATATAAACGTTCAGCAGGGATATCTGGTACAACTGTCTCCTTCTGAAATAGAACATAATTGTAAATGAAGAAAAGACACCCCTTATGTTGTTTACCTTCGATAATGGATATTTTGTTATTTCATCTTCATTCTGCATTTGAGTTTCGGATAAAGATATGTACAAATGCTAAAGAAAATTGTGAGAAATCCATATAACTAAGTATGAAGTAGAAAGTCAGTCTGGCTGCATCATACTTGTTTGAGAATCTTTACGCTCTCATGGATCGGATTTGGTAATCCAATCAATGTATCTAAATCATCTTTGATCGAGAAGCCAACAAATTTTTTTCGTGTATGATCCAAAAATGTTTCCAAATCTTTTTGCCTAAATGTGAGTAAAATAGTATAGAAAAACTCTATAGATGCCTGTCTCATTAATCTTACCGCACTTTGGGTAACCAAGGAAGTTCTTTGTTGAATAATGTTGCTGGATCTGGTAAAGTGGGTGATGTTGAGGTTGGATCGACTACAGAATCTGTTGAGATAGCTGGTGTTGAAGGAGGAACGAGCGACATGGTACCATCATCATCACTAGCAGAAGAATTTGTAAGAGTTGATAATGTGGATGATGATGAATTTGAATTCGATGAATCTTCAGCATCGGCATCCAAAGCGCTTTGTTTTGTGAAACTCTATAAATGAAAGACGTATAAGCGCAAATCAAGCAAGTTTTAAAAGTATTACCTGTCGTTTTGCTCGTCTACTGCTACTACCACCACTTTCATTTTGTTGCATATCTAAACCTTCTGCACCAGCTAGCGGTGGTGAAATTGGTTGCATTTTTTGAATGACTTTTGATGGATTTTCTACAATCGTTGACAAATTATGCTTTTGACGAATGATATTTTTTTGTTCAAATGCATCCTCAATGCCGCCTAGCGTAAACTACAAACAAAAAATGTTATTTATAGACTTTCTCTCTAAGAGAGAATTACATACAAGAATTAATTTCCATAATAATAGCAACAATTTTCGTATAGGCAAAGGTGGCGATGGTGGAGCGTTACAAAAAACACAAATTGAATTAAATAGTGTACTGGCAAACAATTCATCATTATCATTCCTGTGAGCTAGATAGAAAAAAGACAATCAAACAAATAGTAGCTCAGAGTACAATCATCTATTACGTACATAGATCATGTTTAAGTAATTTTTTAAAATGTAACCAATTTTCTCCGGTGTCAGTTAGTTTTCTTGCAAATTCAATTACTGTATATAGTACACATATAATAACTCTTTAAAAAAGTACAAGACATTTTATAAATTATAATACAAATATTTTATTCCTACCTTATATCTTGATTATCACTTAAATTCTTATTCATCATTTTCAGGCTATTATCGTGACATAGTCTATAACATAAACATTATCAGTTACCTTAGAAAACTACAAACATTGCCTATCTATGTAGATAAGACTAACATTTCTAGACGAAATTTGTTCTGACTCAGTAACTATTAGCCAAAAAGAATCTAAAGATATCGTTTACAAATTAACATATTTTTCTAATTACCGTTCTAATTCCATATTGAATAGATCGATAAATGTTTGAATTCCATCACATGAATAAAAAATAAGTATGTTTTCTTTAACATTTGTAAAGTATTCATCAACATCTGAACACTGATAAAATACACCTGCAATGGGAAAAAAAATCAATGAATGACACACGAAGATATCAAGATAGAGGTGCTTGATCTAACCTTGCATCAGATATAAAATCGCTCTCAGTGCTGAACATCGTCTAGTTCTGTCAACAAATTCACATTGTTCTAATAAATAGACCATAAAATCCGTCTTTTCTAGAGGTGATAAATCTTTCCATTGATCAGTACCATGGTCTAAAATACAGAAAGAAGTAGAGAAAGAATGAGAAAACAACCACAGCATCCTACGTTTGGCTCGAAATAATGTATCATATGCATTCGCATTCCAGACAAATTCCGGTTCTTCCGAATAAGCATAAAGTTCTTTAAAAAGAAATAGAGAAAAAACATGATTTTTGGTGAAAGATATAACTATACACTACCTACCGGCTATTTCAGTTTGAAGTATATCTGAATCATCATAGATAAAATTAAACTCTGGTACATCAAGCAAATTCTATAAAAAAGAACAGCATTACTATTATCAGTGAAAAATATCGACAGTGGTCGACATACTTCATGATTAATGGATGGATTTCTTAGAATAACATCACGCGGCTTTGCTATAACTCGACGAACAATTCCATTTGGATCCATTATTTTCTAATTTTCTCAAATTTCAACGTAACATATTTGTATTCCTATCTATCTTTCATACACATCTTAAACATAAAAAGAGCCAATAATTGATCTTTAGAAGAATATTATGAATCTAATAATGTCGAACGATACGATCATGTTGTCTGAAGCAAGAGTTCGAAGACATCTCTCTCTAATTAAGTCCTGTGTGAAGTTGAATTGAAACAAATAGTACAAACACAAGTAGATAAAATAAAAATCTAAGAACTGATTTCGCACACTTATCAAAGTGATATTTGTCAGTTATAATTGTATGCGAAAACTTCATGATGTGTTGTTCTCTCTTCAATCAATGAATAAATTTTATTAAATTTCCAAGAATGTCATACTGACCTAACTTCCAGCAAACAAAGTGTTCATCACGTCCACGTTTTACCTACTGTATTAAACCAGCTAAGATTAGTTGTTTAGTAATCCAATCACTATTTTTCTTTATTTCGAAGTTTATGGAAAATAAGTTATCTTGTACGCATTGATACGTACGCATTTGTGTACAATGTAGATAACAATCGAAAAAGAACATGCATAGAGCTCCCTTGCCTCTTGATAATAAAGAGAATGGGAAAATCTTAAATCTGATATTATGTTAAAATTTGATGAGGTTTGCCAAATCCATCATCTTTGTGCTTCACATTGAACTCATGTTTGCATGTATTTATCTTTAGACAATCTATGTTATTTTTGTGGACTTTTTGCGGTGATACTATTATTTGATAAATCTACCGTCATAAATTATTTCTTGTTGTTAACCAGTATCGTTCAGTTGCTCGTTCAATGTGAACGTTAAACGCAATTTTTATCCCTGAAAACATTCTAATAAAATCGCATTTGTTAAAATAATATCAGACAACATAATGCAGATACTACCAGAGTCCTGCAATGATAAATCTTTAGAAATCTCTGATGGAGTGATAGATTAGTAGATACTACCTGATTATTTTACCTATTTGCTGGTGACCCTATTAAAAGATAAAATATATGCACCTGGAAAAAAAGTCGTAACTTTTATGGTGCTCAGAGCTATTGTCGAATTTATCGCCAGTTTAGTTGACAATGTTTCTCTCTTCTGCTTTATTTGTAACTAATCTTGTTTATTCAATGATTCGTTACGAATTTCAAATATAATAATACAGACGACCTATTCGATGTATTCCAGATGTGGAAGTGTTCGGATTATTGTAGATAATTGGTTGAGAAGTAAATCGATTCATAATGAAATAAGAGGGCAAATAATCTATAAAGATGACTTTGATTATTCAAAATCCTCTCCTTGATTTCTACGACCATTCATCTGATCCAAAATTAGTTCAGCTAAAATTCTATGGAATGATAAAATAAACAACAAAATGTTCAACCATGGAATATAATTAATATTGATCTCTTATTCTTCATGTTGTATAACAATATTGTTCAGGGAGAGCGTTTCACCACTTTGTATTATAAGAAAAATAAAATAAAATCTACTTTTAGACACATTATAAACATCCGCAGTGAGCCCAAATGTACGATGAATTATAACAATTAGCAGTAGTGGTCAAATACAATCGTCATATAATTCGGAAACGATAGGCAACACATAATGTAGTGAATGATGGAGATACTGAAACAATTTTTCGTGATTATAGTGAAAAATCGGATTAAGCTACGATCTATTGTTGGTACCACTTGCAAACACGAGTTTATTTAACAAAAAAACAACAACCGTATAATATTGTAGAGATGATCATCTTCTACAATTCTATGGAAATTTTAAAAATTCGCTTATCCGTCTCTCATACCGTATTGTTCTCTACGACTTAAGCCATACACCAATTCTACCCATTTCTTCTAGAATGCTGTCAAAATCACAATAGAATTGAGTAACATCTATCAGTTCGTAAAAAGAGTATAAGTACTACCCCTCCGACATAAAAATATTTTCTCTATTTAGAGATTCTGCTCAATTCTGCTGTTCAGAATTCAAAAGAATTCGGAGACTTGATATATTCCTGATCACATGATAAAAATGACATCGTAATTAAGATAAGAAAAAAATAGTTATAAGAAATATTTGTAGAGAACGTTATTTAGAATTAAAATGTATTGTTGAAAAAAATTTATTTTCCTTATTGTTATTTTCTTTTGAATAAATTTGAATTGAAACCGTTTGAGAAGTAAACCTTTAGTGTAAATAGAATATAAATTGTACACATATCATTTGTTTTAGATATGATTTATGATATCAATAAAGGAATTTTATTTTTGGCTATCGCTTCGTCCAATTGAACTCCTATTTTCCCTTATTAGCTGGTTACTATTTACAGTTTTAGTCGTATTAAAAATCGATTTTAATTTCAACTTATCAATATTTCATTTATTTCTACCATTATTTATTTGTGATTTTGTTCATGCCTATTTTGTATTAATATTACTTTTACGTTGTTTCTACGAGCCATCAAATTTTAACTGTCGCCTGTTTTTATTTAAAATAGTTAGTCATTTACCATTAGTGATATGTGCATATTTATTTCATTATTTTCTCTATAGAATGTTGACAAATACATCACAATATACACTGTTTCATGTAACTTTACCACTCTACTTTCTGAGTGGTTGGTGTTTCTTAAAGATATTTTTTTGTAAACCAAATACAATGGTATAAGAACATTAGAAAATTGTACATATTTCTTGTTTAAAATAAACTTATTTGCCTATGTGAAAAAAATTTGTACGGATAAATTTCGTGTAAAGAAGAAAGTGTTTGAAGTTTCACTTTTGATTTTTTTAGAAAAAAAAGGAGCTAGTTGTTGGGTAGTTTATTGTTAACCAATCAATTTTCATTCAAAGACTGACCAGTCCTTAACTACACGTAACATGAATACGTTGGTAGGTTCGTTTCCCATTTAATTTTTTTAATTTTGATGAATAACCGAGTCGATTCATTTCGCTGACTAATTCGTTTTTGTGACCAATTAGAACTAGTTTACTAGTCATTTGTTTCGAAATGTCCAAAAAAAAATAAACAATAGTCTGTGACTAGGTCACTTTTTGTTATACTCGGACTAGTTCGAACTGAAGTCGAAAGTATTTTTATGGTTAGAGGTCATTTACTCGTTTTTTTAGCTTGGATGGAAGTGAGTGTATCACTGAATCCCTGCAGATGTTGCAGTAACATTTGAAAACTATTTTTGGATGTTAGTATACTGTTGAAAAAAGTAAATATTTGTATGTTCAAATATTATCCTTTATTTGAAATTAATTACATTCAGAATAAAATAAATCTGAATAAGTTTTAAAAATATGGACGAAAATATTAATAAATCATTCTCGAAAGTACAGAAACACTTATATAAAAATAAATATCACATATAAAAAATACAACGAAGTCTCATTTATTTATTCATGTAAATAATTTGTTGCTGTTTGTGCTGCTCCATTTATAATTGAATCGTATATATAGTCTTCACGATAGAATTGAGCATACTTAATAGAAAAATGAGCGCATAGACGTAATCAATGATTCATTTTCGAAACAAAACTTACTCCCGCTGTTTGATAAACTGTTAAATCAGCACTACTTGTTTCCCAGTCTTTCATACTACATATAATTATTTGTGGATAATCGGACGGCGGTGGACCAACTAAATGGAGACAACACGAGAGATAGTACTATGAATGGTGCTGTCTAGAGATTCTCATACTTGATATAGTTCCTCCAAATTTTTTAATTAAATTTTCCATGGCAATTTTTGTATCAAACATATCTCCAATGAATGCAAATTTTGTGTTGTGAAATATGCTAAAAAATAAAAATAAAATAAATTTTTATTGCTATGTTATATAGTGGTTTGGTCACATAGCTCTACTATCGAAGTGTAATTCGTTATGCACAAAGTAGAAATAAAACCGTGACGGAATTACACTTTGCAGTAAAGTTATGTGAACAAGCCGATAGAAAAAAGGATTAATGTTTCTTGCTTTTTCTTCTTCATCAAAAATGCTTTCTTATAAGTTTTGCCTATATTAGCCAATTTTTTTTTTAATGCTGCTTTTTCTTCAGCTGGTAACTAAAACAAATAGTTTATGATTTTTAATATAGATGTGCGATAAGATTTTCACGTACTGTGTATTTAAATTCGCCGGTGCTCTGCTTGTAATGTACAACATATTGTGGTAAAATTCTTTCAGAATGAAATATAATCAATTCTTTTTTGCATGGACTACAATGTGAATCGTAACCTTTTAACAATGGTTCACCTTGGATTAATTTTGTGCACGTATAAACCTTAAAATAAATAAATGTTTAAAAATTATAACGAAGACAAAAAGTATAAAGTATAAATTAAGCGTCGAAGGACTATCAGCTTCACGACGATATCAGAGATGTACTAGATAAATAAATAATTTATTTATTCTATTGTTGAAATTGTTAGTAACAGCTTTCATCTTTATAATTAGTGTCTTTATCACCTACTTTTCCTTGTAAAACTTGACATAGTAGTAATTTGGTTGTACCAGCAATGTAACCCATTGAATATCCAGGATATTCACTGAAATAAACACCGCAACCATAATAACCAGTATCTGTACGGTGTTTAAAACCTGCTTGACCTAACAAAAAAATAAGTTTTAAAATAAACGCATAGAAAAAATACTCTGTATCGCCTATTTACCTGGCACTTTAAAGCCTCCTTCACATATCAATTTGATATTTTCAACTTTTGTACCATGAAATGCCAACACCGGATAAGAATATTCATCACCACGATTCTTTTTTAATTCTTCACGAGCATCTCTTCAATAAAAACAAAGTAAGTACAATATTTTAGCCTATGACAGAGGAATGCACATAGTTAGTCTAAAAAAATAAGAAAAAGTCATCGCACATACTTGAACTTTTTGACAAGAATAGGATTTACAACATATTCCACCTTAGTAACATGAATACTAAATAAAAACCATAAACTCAATATTTTTACTAGAATTTTTCTCGAATAACTTACTTTGCTTGTCCAGATAATAATCGATAAAATTGTGATTCGGCAAGACGAAAATGTGTCTGAGCTGCTGAACCTTGTTTATAACTTCGTTCAGGAAATAATTCAAAGTATTTAATATCTGTTCCTTCCAATGCTTCTTTTTCACCATCCAAAAGTAAGACACCGTTTGAAACCTAGAAGACATTTAGTAAGAGTTGATCAGTGTTATGATAAATGAATCAAATCTATACATACATTTTCTTGTAATTCGTCAATTTCTTTTTGTTTTGCATCCATTTCATCTTTTGATTTTTTTAATTTTTCTTTCAATTTCTCTTTGACTTCAAATGCCTACAAAATAAATCTATATATTGTTCGTCGTTTTGCAGTATTTCAACTTCTACTCTCGTGTATTTAACTACCCAAGATTACTTACTCTTTCTATCATCGATCGCTTTTCGTCATCTGTCATTTGTGAATAGGATTTTGTCAATTGTATATCATAAGCACTTTCCTAAATATTAGAAACCATCAAAATTCAGTTTTATCTATTGATTTGTATTTCTTTCTTTCTTACATCATCGGAATCATATTCTTCTGTATCGCTTCCATTTTTCTTTGAAGATGATCCGGTTATTTCATCAATCTTTCGTTTTTTAGTCGATGTACTTTTCTTTGTTACTGTTTGAGTATCCATTGGCGACGATGTTGATGTTGCCTCGTCATCATTTTGACTATCATCTTTGTCTGGATTTAATAAATCAAATGGATGAGTATATTCAGCAAAATGAAGGAGATTTTTGCGATAACAAGTGGCTCCAAAAGGACAAACAGGCAACGATTTAATATCTAAATTAGATAAAAAACCGATATCACAAGTAATGAGGAAAAAATTCGCTAAGAAACATTAAATAATACTGAGAACATAACTAGAATAGAGTTTTACATCCACAAAAAGAAGAATACTGCAACTGAAATGTGGTTTCTATATAATATCATAGACATATATATAATTATAAACCAAAATAATTTTTTCTGTGCTTTTAATACAGAAAAGAAGATTACTCATTAAAGAGAGAGTATTTATTGATCAAGTAAGGTGCGCGCAATTCAAAAATCGAGCACTATTTCAGTTTTTGGTCGAAAGCTACATAGTCAGATACTCCTGACTGCGCTGATTCCGAATATCATACCTTTTTATTCGAATTCGATCAAGTTTTGGGGGAGAAATTCTCAGAATACTAAGAGCATCGAGAAAACAAAAAATTTGCATCGCTCTGAGAAACCTTGCGATTTTGTCCCCTTCCATTCACTGTAATTTTTCGAATTTGATATATTCGGATTCCCCATCCAAAACTGAGTCTAATTGTGTACCTTTGAGTCACAAAAAAACAAAATACCTGTGTTGCACAAGTTTGACAAGAGTCAGCACTCGACAAAATGAGCTACCTATCTCCTCCCTGGTTTTGAAACTTTTCTCCGATCGTCATACACCATTCGAATCAGCATTTAAAGGCGGACAAAAGTACGCATCGCTTTTGTCAAAAATTTGTTTCATTCCTGAGAAAGTACATTCTTTCTGAATCAGGAGCGAAAAAATCGGAATTCTACCCGTAATTCTCTATTTTCTCCATCAGAACTCATTTTTATGCAATAAGAATATCATATTCGGAGTTTGCGTCGAAAACCGAGTCGAATGATATACTTTTTTTATCCTATCCGACCACCTTTGTTTTTTTCGA